TTCTAAGCATATAGGTTTGTTTGTTTTAAGTCTGATCTTTGGACAAGTTGTTTGGCATCGGCAAAGTTAATATTTTGAGGGAATTTGATCATGTTTATCTCCAGATGCTTCTTCCAAAACAGACACACTTTAGAGAAATAAGTCTGCTGAACAATTGGTGCATTTCTTATGATAAGTGTCCCAATCTTTTGTTGTGCATCTCTTCTCACCACGGTGAGCACACACAACAGACAATGCAAAAGTATTTACACCATGGCCATAGTTTTGGCATTTGAAGTATCTCGTGGATTTGGAATATATGTCTTGACTTTGATGTGACAGTAACCAGCCTTTATTGATCTTGGAGCTGATGGAGTTGAGAAAATAAATAGGCGTTGGTTTTTCCAGGTTTTGAAACGTTTAATGTAAATGACATGACATTTTTTTCATCTAGAAGACAATATCAATTTCCAACATACAAGACATACAAGACTAAGTCTGTCTAGGTCGCTCCCTATGAAAATGGAACGCGTGTCTGGAATTCTTGAGGAGTCAGTCTAGGATCCAAGGACTGTGGCACTGGCAACTTGGCCATGGTCATTGGATCTGTCTGTAAAATGGATCTATGCCTGTTATACTTGGAACATAAATGGTTGTATTCCCTATTCAGCACATGTGAAACCCTAAATTTTGTTATCACAATATACCTATTATTTCAACCAATTTAGTAGAACTGGGCAAAGATGCTACCTTTAGTGTTGATCACAGGAATTATTTGGAGTGTTACTAACAATTACTTATCATTATCATGGGCTTCTCAGTGTTTGGTAAATGAACACTGTCTGCAAGGAAGGGGATTATGAGATGTTTTTACAGAGGTAAATGTTTCTTACTCTTCATTGGGAGTAGATGTTAAATACTTTTTATGCACACAGATTGAATCCGCCCAAGACGAATACATCGCTCCAAGCAAAAGGGCCGCCCTCGCATCGAAACAGCCACAACACTGATGCAAGAACTCCGTGAATGTTTCGCTCAAGCCATCGATGAGTCACTGGAGGACTGAATAACAGAGACTGCTATGGTGCGATGGGATTTCATCCATGTACAAGACTGCCTCCGACACCTTCGGGAACAGAGCAAGGAAGAGTTAGGACTGGTTCGATGCAAAGATCGAGGAGATGGAGCCTTCCATCACCATCAAGCATGCCACGCACCTGGAGTACAAAATACAGCCCTCCGAGTCAACACTAGCTGCCTTTAAGGAAGCCTGCAACAACGCCAAGAGGATCACCCGCAAGTGCGCCAAAGACTACTGGCTGAAGCTATGCAGTGATATCCAGTCCCTGCAGACTGCAAGCAGATGGAGAGATGGGCCAATCATTACCAGGAGCTGTACTCGCGAGAAACTGTCATCACCGACTCAGCCATTGAGAACACCACTCCTTTGCTCACCATCGAGGAGCTCAGGAAGGCCATCGACTCTCTCTCCTGCGGAAAAGCAACAGGCAGTGATGGAATTCCACCAGAGATTGTGAAGGCCGGACTCGTCCTCAACCACTTCCAGCTGCTCGCCGACTGAGTGTACCCTGAGTCGCAATGTGGGTTTCAAGCAAAATGGTCGACAATCAACATGGTGTTCTCATTCAGGCAGCTACAGGAGAAATGTCGTGAACAGAGACGCCCCTTGTTCCTCATTTGACCAAGGCCTTTGACCTGGTCAATCGAACAGGCATCTTCATCCTCCTATTCAGGATTGGATGTCCCCCTAAGCTCCTGAAGATTATCACATCGTTTCATAAGGACATTGCAGGCACAGTCCAGTACGACGGATCATGCTCGGACCCCTTCCCAATCCAGAGCGGTGTGAAACAAGGGTGTGTCCTGGCCCCGACACTCTTTGGCGTGTTCTTCTCCCTACTCTTGCATTACGCCCTGTGCAAGTCTGTCTGAAGATGGCATCTTCCTCCACACGAGGAGTGATGGAAACCTCTTCAACCTCACCCACCTCAGAGTAAAGACAAAGGCTCGCAGGGTTCTCATACGAAAGACGCGATTTGCAGATGATGCCACCCTCAGTGCACACTCTGAGGAGACCCTCCAGTGACCCATCACATGCTTCCGAGAGGCATGCACAAGAAGACCAACATCATGGGCCAAGATGTCAGCACCACTCCTGCAATCAACATCGGCGACCAGACACTGGAGGTGGTTGATAATTTCACCGACCTCGGCTCCACCATCTTCAACAACCTATCCCTAGGTGCTGAGCTAAATGTGAGGATAGGTAAAGCAGAGACCGCCATGGCCCGCCCACTAAAAGGAGTGTGGGGCAACACCATCCTATCGCTCAACACAAAGATGAAAGTATACCAAGCTTGTGCGATGAGTACCCTTCTCTACGGCAGCAAAGGTGGCTCTTCACGGGTGCCTAATGTCTAAAATAATTACAGAATTTGAGTGAAATGAATCCACAAAGACGGTGATTATTTCTTCATCCAATCATTCCAATTTTTAGGAAATCCAGTTACATGTACCATAAGTCTAGTTTGTCACACAAGATCAGGTTTCATCAGTTTCTGTGAAAGGGAAAAGGTTTCATGCGTTGACATGGTCAATTATCAGAATCGTAACGATAGACACAGAACAATATTATGTTAATAATATGACATACTGATATTTAATAATATTGTCCCATGTCAGAAAATTATTCGAAAACCATCGGCCGCAAAATCTAATACAACTTCGGAAAGGTAAAGAACTGATTGTACGCACCGACAGCAATATTGTGGAAATGTTGACGACTACAGTTGGATAACAGCTAACAGCAATCAATTGAAGGTGATTAAAAGTTAATAATTATGAAACTATATATTTTGATTTTATGGGAATTTGAATCAATTTTAAAACTGTGTCCATGGTAGTTTTCCATCTCGTGCATGTTTTACCTCCATGTGTGCGATGCTGTACGTGCTTCCAGTTTCATCAAGGGTGGATAAAATTACAAATATTGTGATTATTTTTCATGATCTGTATTATTTAGGTATTGATTCGTCTTGTTTAAATGCATATAAGTACAGATTCTGGTTATGAACACTTACTTTCAAACAACCTTCGTGTCTTGTCACCTAAAATAAACACGTGTTTGGCCCTGCCCAATGTCAATGTCGGAAGGTTGATCAAACAAAATCATTATCAACCCGATAAATATCATAATGCCAGCGTTTGACTCAGATGACGGCTGAGCGGTAATGGCCGTGTTTGTTGTAGGGAGAGTAGACGATACCTGATACCTGCAGACGATAGTTTGGTGTAAATAGCAATGGTGAGGAGATAATGCTTTTTAAACATTAATTCCAGCGACAATAGTTGGATCTATCAACAGGGTGACGCAATTTTTGGGATCATTCCTATTTGTCCAATCGGTGGTGTATCATTGAGATTGGTTTTGTTTGTAAGAAAATAAACCGAACGTTACTAACTTGTAGAAAACGGGGAACACAAATATTGATCAAATTATATAGAAAGAAAATGTTTCATTGTGAAGAAAATATTAGAGAGAGTACCACTCTGCATGATGTTCCTGGATTCAACGATGGCCGTTATTTGTGGCTGTGTGCCGAGAAATTTAGAAATTACATTTACAGGTAAATAATTATGGCAAGTTTTATTTGAGGATGCCGTTATGCTGCTCTTCCGCCGAATGACCTGCTGAAAACGTTTGCCAAACCTACTGCGTCTTAATTTTCCTTTTTTATATATGAGACCACAGAATCTGAACATTACGTGTGATTACACAACATCTGTGTGATTGCTAAGGTGGTGTGTACAGCATGTACTAAACACGCAGATAACACTGTACCATATACAGGAAGTAGCAGCTTGTGTACAACTTGTCTGAATCTTGATCTTATTAGGAATCTCCTCAGATTTACATTGTTCGCTGATTGTGTCAGGGTGTTATGTTCAGGAGGTGGCTGTGCATTAGCGGATTCGCCCTGCTCCTTTCACTGCTGCTAACACTATTACTGTTGCTGTAATACTCTCGCATCATATATGTTCAATGGCAATAGCGTTTTAGCGGTACACCTTTTTCATAGCACTTCAGAGTTGCCTCGCTTGGGTGGCTTTATTTTCTTTTGACTTCCTGTCGTATGTTTAACAAAATCCTGCATGGTTCTGAGAGAATAATGAGGGAGCCGAGCTTTGCTAGAATGCTCGCGAACTGTGTAAGAGCTATATAAGATCGGGTTGTTGTGTTGTGCGACGGGACTTTCCGCATGACTGGATTTTGGCGCAACTGTTCTCACCGTAGATGTCAAGACTGGTTAAATTAATATTCTATATTTGTGACCCAACATTTTAGATTTGTGACTCAATTGCATTGTATTAGAAATCTGTATTGTCATTTTTCGTAGCTTGCTCATTGTTTCTTCAATATATTATTGACTATTTTAGACTTTTCTCACGCATATTATTAACCGTAGCACCACTACTACAACTACTTCTACTACAAATACCACTACTACTACTACACTGATGCTACTACTACTACTACTACCAATATTACTACTACTACTACTACTCCAGCTGCTGCTACTACTACTACTACTACTACCACTACTACAAATACCACTACTACTACCACTACTACCACTACTACTACCACTACTACTACTACTACTACTACTACTACTACCACTACTACTACAACTACTACTACTACTACTACTACTACCACTACTACTTCTACTACTACTACTACTGCTACTACTACTTCCACTATTATTATTACTGCTGCCGCTGTGGAAACGGGTACATTGCTTCTACTACTGCTACTGCCATTACAGTTTCCTTTATTTCCATTATAGTCAGTCATTACATCCTGATGCAATCTACTCTACATGTAAGCACCCGATGACACAAGAAGGTCCGAAGGGTATAGTTCTTGTCGACTCGTTCTCCTGGCTCCTGCCTCTCTCTCTGTCTCTCTTTGGTTCTCAGCATTGATGGTTCACAATTCACAGTGACATGACATATTGCACCACCTCCAAATGTCCTTCTTCACGGGCCAAGTCAATAACATTTTTACCGTTGCTATCTCTGAGTGAGAGATCAGCATCATTCTTTACCAATAGTTCCACCGCTTCCTTATGCCCGTGTGCTGCTGCTATCATCACTGGTGTCCTCTTCTTGAATCCCCTGGTGTTTATGTCCACTGTGTTCAGTGAGAGGACATATTTCACTACTTCTATTTTTCCGCGGCGACAGGCCAAGTTAAGGATATTGCCTCCCAATGCTGCACGGTGTGACAGATCAGCTCCATGTTTTACAAGTAATTCCACCATTTGTTTTGTACCCCACTCTCCTGCTGTCATCACTGGTGTCCTCTTTTTGTATCCCCTGCTGTTTATGTCCACCGAGTTCAGTGAGAGGAGATATTTCACTATATCAAATAATTGTCCGCTTTTACAGGCAATGTGAAGGATATTGTCTCGTCCTTTTACACTGAGTGACAGATCAGCTCTATGTGTAACCAGTAATTCCACCACTTCCTTATGTCCGTGTTCTACTGCTGCCATCAGTGGTGTCCTCTTGTTGTATCCCCTACTGTTTATGTCCACTGAGCTAAGTGAGAGGAGATATTTCACAACATCAAATTGTCCGCGGTTGCAGGCAATGTGAAGGATATTGTCTCGTCCTTTTACACTGAGTGACAGATCAGCTCCATGTGTTACCAGTAATTTCACCACTTCCTTATGTCCGTGTTCTGCTGCTACCATCACTGGCGTCTTCTTGCGAGGCCCATAACTGTTGATGTCAACCATTTTCTGTGAGAGGATGTACTTCACCGCCTCCATATCTCCCTTCCTACAGGCGCAGTGAAGGATGTTGTTACCTGCCTCATCCACGAATGACACTGTAGCGCCTTGGTCCACAAACATCTCCACCACGTCCCTGTGTCCGTTCGCTGCTGCCAGCATCACAGCTGTTCTCCCACACCGTACTCTACCATTGATGTCCACCATGTTCTGTGAGAGGACATACTTCACCACCTCTACATCTCCTCCAAGACAGGCCGAGTGAAGAATGTTGATGCCGAATCTATCGACGAGTGACACATTAGCTCCTGTACTCACAAGTAACTCCACCACTTCTCTATGCCTCCGACTGGCTGCCCACATCGCTGGTGTTCTACCAATCCACTCTTGACAATTAATGTCCCTCCGTCCCTGTGACAGTATGATTTTCACCCTTGACAGGTCCCCGGTCTTTGAGGCGGTATGGAGATCACACAGTGGAGGGGCTGTAACACAAAGTAAAACTCTATAGAAATCTTCGACGACAGTTTGGAAGGTACAATATTAAAGATGTAGGACATCGTATTGTATCCGGGAACCGACGGCATGAGTGTTTCATTAGGATGGCACAGCGTTTATGTGACAAATATGATGAATAAACCTAACTGAGAAAGTTTCACTTGACATCTGAAATTTCTACATAGCTTGAGAGCAGGTGGGTTTATCAAGTTATTCAATGTAATCCTGAAAGTTAAAATATCTGAATAGCTGGAAGGCAGTATCAGCAGTTGGGTATATCAAGTTATTCAATGTTATCCTACCTAAGAGCGGTAATTTCACTTGACAGCAGAAATATCTTAATAGCTGGAGGGCAGTATCAGCAGTTGGGTATATCAAGTTATTCAATGTTATCCTACCTAAGAGCGGTAATTTCACTTGACAGCAGAAATATCTTAATAGCTGGAGGGCAGTATCAGCAATTGGGTATATCAAGATATTCAATGTTATCCTACCTAACTGCGGTAATTTCACTTGACAGCTGAAATATCTCGATAGCTGGAGGGCAGTATCAGCAGTTGGGTATATCAAGTTATTCAATGTTATCCTGACAGCTGAAATATCTGAAAAGCTGGAGGATAGTATCTGCAGTTGGGTATATCAAGTTATTCAATGTTATCCTACCAAACTGACGCATGGGATGTTGGAACAACCCTGAAATTCAATGGAAGTCTTGATCTGTCTGAATAGACTTAGGCAAACTAAACATACTGAAGACTTCATCAAATCCCTAATAATGAGCCATATCTTTCTGAAAAGGAACAGCCTCTGGAAACCTTGTCGAAGTACACATGACATTAACCATGTCCTGATTGCCAACCTTAGTGTTTGATAAGGCACCAACACAATCAGTGATGCTCCTCGAGAGACTCTTCAAAAGCTGGAAAGTCAAAAAAATGTTTTTGATGTGAATTTGGTAGAAAAATCTGATGACAACTTTCCCTTCGTTTGCAACAGGTACATCTGGTGTGAATGTGTATCGTCTTTTGAGGATGGCTCATCACAATACCATTTGAAAACAACTCATGACTACTTTAAGATATACGGTGGGATGCAAAACTAGACCGTCAGTTAAATGGTATGAGTTGGAGATCAGAACTAGTTCGGTAGTCGCTTTCCAAAGTCCACAAGCATCTTGAAAATTAATGTTGGTTGCTGTGCTTCTCCGAGGAAACCAGATGAAACAATCGAATGTGACTGGTCAAGTTGTCAAGATTATCTTCCATCTTCATTCCTGCTTTGACTCCAATCGTTACAGCGGTGCATTGTACATTGTACATGAAACGATAGATCGAAGTACATGGCGGCCATGTAGTGACCCAGGCATACAGAGAGTTAATTGGTCAGGGAATCGGATCGTGGAACGTCAGATGCATGCACTGGCCTTTGTTATACCCTCAATGGTAAATGTGTGGAGTGGGACAAAAACAGTCAATCGTAATGTGGGGCTTTGAACAGGGTATGATTTTGTATTATCAATTTCACGTGTCTCTTTATTCAATTAAATCACTCGTGATTCTGTTCCCACTGCTTTGAAGGGTATATGGAACTATACATAATACCCTGACTAATTGTATGAAAACATTTACATTATTTCTTGTGCCTGTATCACGCAGTTCATACGTACCCGGCAAGGGAGGAAGCATTTCCTTGACTTGCTATGTCATGGTCAGAGTTCAAGGTGATTTCAAATTGACGAGTCCTTCAGTACTTCTCCGTGATCTTACTTTCAGTTGCTGACGATTCATAGCCCGATTTTATATTGTGTTGTGTATAAATGATTTAACTTTTTACACTGAACTCAAACTAGTTTTAAATTATTTGTTACTGCTGATGTGGCTTTATGTTTTAATTCCCTCATTCAATTTAATTAATTTGTGATAATCTAGTAATTATACCGTCCTTCGCTGACAGGTGTTAAATAAGTGTAAATATATATATTCTTTAAACATAACTTTTTGTTGTCACCATATGGTTAAAACATTGCCGATGTGACGTTAAATATTAACTCACTCACTCACTCAGAACTACTCCTGCTGACAGTCTCTACGTCGAGGCTGTTGAGTCTTCTCTTAACCAACGCCGTATCAGATTATTCTTGCAGTTTATGACAAAATCATATTCTAACCAATCTAACCCTGCATTTAACTGTGTTTTAATCCTCAAGTCGCCCCTTATTCAACCTCTAGTATTAAGAATCAAACCGTTCGTTCCTGCTGGTGGCATTCAGCTAAGTAATATATCCCCATCCCATATTTCTTCTTCTCCTTGGCAATTTATACAATCAGAAACTCACTCACTACAATGTAAAGAAGAATATAATCAATTAAAAAGTAAACATAATGCATTTAAATACTTATTTACCGATGGGTCCATTATGGTGGTGCAGTGGCTTGTGCCACTGTGATTGGACCCAGGACAATAAGGATTTAGAGGCGACTATTCGTGGAGGATTAAAACACAGTTAAATGCAGGGTTAGATTGGTTAGAAAAAAAAATGTTTTAATAGTCTGAACGTCCGAAAGAGATTCTGAAAGATGATATATTATGTTTTTTATGTTATTTGATTTTATGGATAGATTTATCTACACTCGCTGACATCTGAAGGGATGGTGTAAATGCAACTAGGGTCCATGCAGGTAGCAAAGGCGCTGTAAGTGCCAATGGTCCCAAGTGTGGTGATCTACCTTCAGTTTTTAGCGATCTCTAGCCCATTTTTAGACTGTATTGTCCTAATAAAAAAAAAACAATTTTAGAGAGAGATACTAGTTCTATCCCTTGATACTTTGATATTCTAGTTGGTTTTACGGTCCTTCTTTGACAGTTTTTTACAAATAATGTACAAGTATTTATTGTGAATTTAAACCTTGCTTTAGTTACGATATGGCTGGAATATTGCCAATGTGACTGCAAATCTTAACTCACTCATTCAAATGGACAAATGCATTGCTTCCAACGTGATAGCGTACGTGATCTTGGGTTGGGACAATCATTTCAGGCTTCTTCAATGGGGTACTAGATAGTTAAACAAACATTGATCCAACGTAAACACACTCTTTGGTGTGAGAGTTGACGAAACGCTGGTCCGGCAGCGATAAATACAGTTTACCCTCCGCCAAGAATACTTTGGACCAAGGTGTGACTGCTGGCTGTGATGTTGTATAATCTGCATCAGCCCAGACAATCCTGTCGCTGCAGTTGAAGATCCCAGAAGACATCAGAGAGGAGATCACGTTTCCATCTAAAGTCCTCTGCTAATAGTACACTGGAAAAGAAAAAACAACTGTGGTAGGAAAAAAATGAATATGTCAGATAATCAGCTGTTGCAGAGGTTCTAGGAGCTTGCCTCCTATGATTTGTTCCTGTTGTGACTTCAGTAGCAAGGTTGACAATATTGAGGATTCCGATGCTGAGAATTAAACGCTTGGGTTACCAATATAGGGATGAGGCTGACAAGTGTTATCTGTGCGAGGGTGGCTACTTCAGGTTCTGACAAGGTCTTCTGTGGTGGTTCATAAACACACTATTTGAGAACTGTGTTGCAGTCAGATTGGTGGCGTAGTCATGGTGACCATACTTTCCGACATTGACGATGTTCGAGTTTTCTATATTCCTCTCAGACAGCATGCATTAACAGTTTACTGTTACCAATATTTTACACCAGCTTTGTTTTTGGTTTTAATCAGAATAGTAAATGTTACAGCTGCCTCTGCAGAATTTGGATTTCTAAGGATATCATTCAACATGCGTTTTCGTGATTTCATGTAAGAGTGACTGGGGTTTGTTAATGCTTTATTCCAGTTATTTCATATTCAGTGATGTTCAGCATGTTAAACCAGGCTTGTATGAGTGTGTTGTACCGTGGCCTAGTGGTTAACATGCTAGACTTGAAATCCAAAGTGCTAGGGTTGAAATCTAGCATAATGACAAAAACTTCTGCAAATTTAATCAGTAAATATATAGCCTCACTTCATGCAAAGTCTGGTTACTGTGATATTCACATGGTCATTTGGCTGTCCGCAATCCTCTCTGTATAGCAACACAAATGTGAGTATTAATCATATGTTGTGCGCTTTACATGATATTTGAATAGTGTATGTTGTAAGATTATCATTTGTGATATTTTGATCATTATTATTGTCTAATTTTAATCTAACGCTGGTACTGAAGCACGTTATTGAACTGCATTGTCTCACAACAATTTTCAAATGCTTTAATTTGATAATCCAATATTTTAGAATTCAGGAAAGATATATTAAAATGCTATAATTTGTATATGCTTTGTTTGATAATCTTGAAATCTCATATTTGAGAATTCAGGAAAGACATATTGAAATGCTATAATTAATGCATCATCTAAAAAAACGTTTTGTTTCTTTTAGTTTCTTAAACCTCGTCGATGGATAGTGTCATGTCAATGTTAATATGGCAGTGACGTGGCAACGTTCATATGCCAGTGACGAAAAAATGTAACTTTAATAAATCCCTGTCAATGCGAGTTTTGGAGTTTAATTATGCTCATGTGTACATATGTACATGACACAAACAGATACATATTTGGTTCATCATGGAGGGCAAATAGTATTTATATTACAGAAATAATACTACTAATCCGTTTTTGTGTTGGCAACCGTGCTGCCAATTTCAACATGGCTTGGTATCCAACAAAACACGATGTCATACTGGCTAGTACCGAGAACATTATATAATTCAATAATTGCAATTAAAAGTAGATAGTTGCAAGATTGATTTGTCTTTGCCCGAAGACAAGAAGTAGAAGATACAATAGCGGTCCCAGACCAAGTCCAACAAAAGCCTCTGCCAAG